CCCAGGCGGGTGGAAAGACCGAGGCCCAGAGATACAGGAGGAGGAATTTGGTCCTCGGTCCCGTCTGTGAACCTCCGCTCCTCTCACCCCACTCTCTCCCAGCATCTGTTCCAGACCCATCTTTATAAATTATCTCCAAAATTCTATTAATGACTTCTCTGTCTCCAAATTTCCCGTCCCTTATATCTACATCCATCTGGGTTATCGCTACATGAGTCTTCACATAAACTTTACATCAAAACTCCACAGTTGAATCCATAATTTTGCCCAGTCTTCAATAAATTAATTATTAAGATGCCCCTTCTTTAGCCCACTCACCCTCTGCCACATACTTCTCAGTGCCACTCTGATGCTGGGCTTGGTCATGTGCTTTGATGTGGCCAATGAGAGAGCAGCTAACATGAAGGGGGCAGAGGTTGGGAAAGTGCTGCCCCCTTTGTTTTACCCTCTCCCATTTCCATGGGGTGGACAGGCTTGGGCTAGCACTGTAGGACTGGACTCATTGATGTCACCTGGGCACCACAGCCTTTCCAGCTGAGGCTGTCCTGGATCAGCCAGCAGCAAACTGGCCACCAGAAATGTGAACAACCCCAACTAAAGTTCATAAGGTGATCTCTTCAACTGACAGTATACAAGACAAATAAAAATTAAATATAAGGGTCAGGAGAGAGAGAGAGAGAGAGAGAACTTTGTCTGGGTGGGACCTTTGGGTTCAGCTTCAGGGCTGTGAACTACTCCCCTAGCCAGGGCTTCCCCACAGACCACAGTGCCAGTCAAGTACACAGTTGTCTCCCTCTTGTTCTGCTCTGTCCCTTCTAATTTTTTTCTCTTTCTTTAAAAAACAAAAACAAAAATAACTTTTTGTTTTGTTTGTGTCTTTCTCTTGTTAATTTATTTCTTCTTCCTTCACCTGGGATAGAAAGCCTCCAGGGTCCTCCATCTCTGTCTGGGTTGGGCCTCTTGGTTCAGCCTCAGGGCAGCAAACTACTCCCCAGCTGAGGCTCCCCCGGAGACACCAGTGCCACTCAGGATAGAAAGCCTCCAGGGTCCTCCACCTCTGTCTGGGTGGGGCCTCTGGGTTCAGCTTCAGGGCAACAAACTACTCTTCCACCTGGAGTTCCCCCCCAGACCCCAGTGCCAATCAGGTATGCAAGTGTCTCCCTCTTATTCTGCTCTGTCCCTTCTAACTTTCTCTCTCTTTTTCTAACTAAGAAAGTCAAAGATCTTTATAAAGAAAACTATGAAAATCTTAAAAAAAGATATTGAAGGTGACATAAAAAAGTGGAAGGGCATCCCATGCTCCTGGATTAGAAGAATTAACATAATCAAAATGACAATTTTACCGAAATTAATCTACATGTTTAATGCAATTCCAGTCAAAATACCAGAAATATTCTTCACAGATCTACAAAAGACAATCATAGAATTTGTCTGGAATCATAAAAGACCTCATATTGCAAAAGCAATCCTGCACAATGTAGTAGGAGACATATCACTCCCTGATCCCAAGATATCCTATAAAGCTGGGGTCATCAAAACAGCATGGTATTGGCATAAAAACAGACATGTGGACCAATGGAAGAGAATAGAGACCCCAGAAATAACCCCCAAAGCTTACAGCCAACTGATCTTAGACAAAGGATATCAGTCAATCCATTGGGAAAAGGAAAACCTC